ACGTAGTCCCTGTAGTCTACCCCGTGTGTAGGGTAACTACACGTGGCTCTCCAGTGTGTAGAGTGACTCTTGATGGACTGCATACGAGACAACGTCTGGCGGTACAGGTTGAAGTTGGGTGCGTTCTCGTTGACGGGAGATTTTTGCTGAAAACAGAGTACTTGAACTGACTRAATGCGCGATTCTTGTTGCTCCAAGACAAGACAAGGGTCCATGCATTCCCTGGCTCGGTCTTCATATCACAGTAGACAGGAAAGGTGTTGCCAGCGTTATCGTAGATCTTGTAAACACCGCATTTGGAAACACCTTTTCTCAGGTAGTCAAGGCAAGATGTTGGTTGGAAGTGGGCTGGTTGATTGACTTTACATTGTGGACATGAGCCACTCTAAAAAGTGAAGAAAAATGTTTAGTAAAATGTTTTAATGTAACTGGTTCTTGAACAGACAATTACAGAAAGAAAACTAAGTTGTTGTATCCTAAAGGCTTTCTAAGATGAACAAATGCTAGTTTTGCACGAGAACTCACTACAACCCCGAATAAAGATATATTGCAGTTATTTCTCTCACATCACACACGCACAATATCAAGTCGAAATACCAAGCATAAATAAGTTATTCATGTTCAGTACGTGCAACGCCATTTACTTTGGACCCAGCACATGAATTAGCCTTTTTTGATGAAACGAAACTCGTCAAACTCTAGAGGGGGAAATAAAAAAGTAACGACACGTTTTTGGAATATCATTGATGAAAGTGAGCCTTGATCATGATTAACAACTAAAACAACCGTCTCAAATAAACTTTATCTTGTTAGTATTTAACTTACCAAAGTCACCAGTAATAGAAGCAAAACACCATATGAGATATTCATCGTGATAAACAGAGACGACTGGATGGCGAATAGAATGAAAACTTTGGTGCAAGCAGAGACGAACTGGGACTCTTATGCAACGTTGCACGATGACTGAAGTYACTGAAGATCAAAGTGTTCTGATCAGAACTACCAATAGGTCAGGCTTCTTATCAAAAGAATAAAACATTGACTTAATTAAGACTGAATTAGGACTTCCTCGTTTGATTGGAAACACGAAATTTCACGAACCTAGTTAAACAAAAGAACTTTATGAGGGGAACGAAAACAAGGTTTAGACTAAGGCTAAGAATCCAAAATAACACCTTCCCTCACCTCTCCCCAAGTAAATAAAAAGCTATGATCAATAAACCTCTAGTTGAATGGATGGAAGCGAATCAAAATCATGAAAAGGCGAAAAGTGTGATGGTATCAAGGGGGAGAGGGGAAGGGGGGACGCTTGGCATAAACGTTTTTCATCGTCCAATGGAATAAGTCACATAATATACAATCCCTATGGCAACAACTTCGAAAAGTTCTTATCATTTATTCTGTTACGTCATAATGCAAGCGTTGCTTATTGTTAACTAACATAGGCCCGGCAGGTCTGGTCTGCTATCACATATCTGAATGGGTAGAGGAGTTTCTTGCTCAAAGATGAAAACCGAACCACCACTGTTGTACTGCGATTGTCAATGTGCAAGTTGAAGGCCCGAATGTACAGCTGGCGTTGCTGATGGTGTTGGTAGTCGGCGGGGTGTCACCCACCACTAACCACAAATCATCCCATTCCCCCTCCTTTCTTCCTCCAAAACAAAATCACGTTAAAAACTAATTTTATGCCAATAGAAGAATCAAATTTTAGTGGATAACGACTGCTTTACTGAAAGTTCTATTGAAAATAAAAACTCAATAAGAATGCTTGAATTTTCAATTGATCGACCAAGCGTACGTTTTAATTTTGGCGCGAAAGTTACGCCAAAACTACTAGAGCTCCAATACAGGCCATCGAGAGAAATACGTATCATTTCCACTAACATGAGAATCAGAACATTTCACACATTTGCCTTATTGGTGTCAAAAATAAGAAATGAAATAGAAACGCAATTTTATCGCGCGCTGTTCCTGATTTTTGCCCTTCTCATGTCATTTACATGAGAGGCGGATCCAGGGAAGGGGTGCAGGGGGTGCGCACCCCTCCCTGGTTACACTTTGTGCTCCTACTTCGAAGATAACCAATCTTGCTTTTTGCCTTTGATTCTAAGGGGTGTACCCCTCCCTTGGTTAACATTGTGCGCAGCACCCCTCCCTGAACAAAATCCTGGAACCGCCCCTGACTTAGATGACATGTTTTTAGATTTGGTCTGATTTTTATCCATGTATTTTATTTTCTTCTCAAGATTTATACGTTTACAACAAACGAACTAGAGTATTACGACAAGTTGTTTATTGCATTGTCACTAATAGATTTGTTTTGGAGCTAATAGCTTTAGTTTTACATCTATTCTTTATGTGAATACAAGTTGCAGGATTTTGATCTAGAATCACGTTTGTTTGAGTTTCTTGTTCAAAGATGACCACCGAACCACCACTGGGTTGTCGCGTTGTCGTTAGCGGTACAGCGGAAGTTGGGATTGATAGTGTGAGG